TATCGTTAGGTACATTTATTATATTTAACACTTCTAGAGTAAATCGTCATTTAGAATTATTTTCCTGTGTCAATATGTCTACGTCTTTAAAATTCGGCGTATGTCCAGTTTTTGTGCAATTTGCTGCAAGTGCCGTTTTTTGCTCCTAAGGTTTGTCTGAGTTTTGATCTGAGCTATGTCCAGAAAGTCTCGTCTTAAGTTTAGTTTGGCATACGTTGGATTAGTCCCCTTTACATTTTATCTTATATACATACTACATTGCATTTGTCTTCCTTTTTATACCCTTCACCACACTATGGTACAGGGTATTATGGCTGTGTACATATGTTTGTAACAGGCAAAAGGAATCGAGGTAAACACATGGTTCCTTTTCAGTCGATTTATGCATGTCCGTCTGTCCATCCGTCCACACATTTTTGTGAGCAAAGTACAGGTCGCATTTATAATCCAATTTGGATGAAATTTGGCCCAAGGACGAAACCTATTGAAATTGGAGAAAATCGGTTCAGATTTAGATATTACTCCTATATATAGTATCGTCCGATTTTATATAAATAGAACACCATGGAATTTAGTCTAGAATGTTTTTGTTAGGGTTTAAACCGGCTCAGATTTAAATATAGGTCACATATACACTTCAGTCCCATTATATGTAAATGGTGCATCGTAGATCCTGTTCGTTGTTTTGCAAACAAATCTGTAAGCTTTTTTATTTGCATTCATATACACCTGATTTACCCAAATAAAATAGCAATGAATAGTTCAATGTATGATTCACAATCGCCGTTCACGAATATGTCTGTATCGACGAACTATTGAACTAAAAGAACGAACAAGTTTATTCATGAGAGCTGAACTAAAAAGAGCGATATTTTTAATGAAGCCGTATTTATTTTTATTAGTCTGGGATGCTTAGATTAAAAGTTAATTAATCGTCCAGATGCGGTGGGCTTATGGTCCCAATCTATTGTTAGTTTTTGGCCTTGTCGGATTATTATGGCGCCAAAGGTAATTTTTGGTTTTCTTACAAGTCCTGCGTAAATTGCACATGTTGTCAATGGAGTTTTGGGGGTATTTAATGTATTGTCGATCTCTACAAAGTATATCGTCCACATATTTCGTAACTAATTTTGGCTTATTTATCAATTTCTCCATTGAAGCGTCCAAAAACTCCTCCATTACTATATCTGCAATAATCGGTGACGCTGGAGATAAATAGGTATTGTGGTATTTTTGTGTATTCCTTAATTATGTCCCATTTTTCTGCTATTGTCCGCAATGCTAAATTTATAGGTATACTAGGAAATAACGTCAAATCATAATAGAACATCATCATCAACAATCTTTATATCTTTGATTATAATAATTACTTTCTGAGTCGATTTACGCATGTCCGTCCATGTATTTTTGTGAACATCGCATTTATGATCCGATTAGGATGAAATTTGGCACATTTCACTTATTTGGCCCAAGTACGAACTCTATTGAAATTGGTGAAAATCGGTTCAGATTTAGATATAGCTCCCTAATATATTTTCGTCCGATTTTATGTAAATGGTGATTTAGATATAGCTTCCATATATAGTTTCGTCCGATTTTATTTGAATGATCCACCAAACTCCCAATATTTGTCCGATTGGGACAAAATTGTTCATAGCAAATGCAATTGAGGAAAAAATTATGTGTGATAAGGTTTGTTGAAATCGGTTCAGGTGAGGGCATCATATAGTCGGCCCCGTCCGACTTTTGAACCTTCCTTACTGGTTTTTCTTTTCATTTTCACGGCGTATTTAATGTTATATATAAAATTTTTAGTTAAATTTGTTAAAATATCCTCTATGTATTTTAACAGCTCATATGTTGGGGAGTTAATGGATGAGCATATTGGTCTAAGTGGGGTTTCTTCCTTATGTATTTTGGATAGAAACTCACAACATAGTTCGCTAAAGTATTACATTTTTTCGAGTTGGAAATCCTTTTGTCATGATTACATGCCATCACTGATAAAATACTAAATATACGTAAATTTTTTTCTTGTTCCCGTACTTATAGTAAAACTAGTAAAAGAGGAAAACTGTAAAAAATTCTCATAGACCAAATCTTCTAAATCAAAGACAATAGCCACACAAACCAGCAGAACATCGGAGAAGATTAAACAATTTTTCACTCTTAAATTTGGCTAGTTAATGAAAAGATTTTTCCAGCAAAAGTCGTGTTTCGAGTACAATATGGTACACGAACAAAACTATTGTTTTCAATACATAAATTAACATCATTTTGAGAAATTTTTGTGGTTTCATTTATTGGCATTTTATCAATGAAACCCAATAAAGTATCAAACTGTCGTATGTTATGATACGACACTGTCACTAGATTTTGAAAAAAATCACCTCCTGAAATACAACCAAGACAAATAAGAGGACTCTAAATCGTTTTTCACATTAAAAAAAACTAACTGTATTAAAAAAGTATATTTGGACCCATATCCGATATCCAGCCGATTTGAGAAATATAGAAAATTGTAATATTTTTACTAAAAATTAAAGGAAGATCGATGGTAATATGTCCATTCTATGTGATTCTTGCTAACACATGATTAAAATTAAATAACAACAGCATTAAATGTCGACAATTTCCAATATTTGGAAACTGAAGAGATGTTACATTTTCCGCCTAGACTTAAGTCTAAATGGAATATTACGATGTGCAAGATTTGGACCAAATCGATACCCACTCAGACACTTGGTGTTTAAACTTAACGCTCAAAAGCATTAAGTGTTAGTATTTCGGCAATCTAATTCAAGGTATACACATAATGAATGTATGTTTATCAAGGCGTCGCAAATCATTTTTTGCGGACTTAAAAATGAGCTATTATGCTAATATACAATCTACCCTCCTATAAACATTTGTTTATGTTTACTTTTTCCATGTAAACACCAAAGCAAATTTTACTAGAGAGACAAATAGACAATAGGTTGAAACTTTTATTGCCTATTGTGGTTATTATGCCTGTTGCTGCATTCGCATTCGTGTAATCGTACAATGCCATCCAGTTCTCAAATTCATTTCAAACAAACCTTTCGTGGCACATTCGAGAGCATGGAGTCGCTCGCAAGCATTGGATCAAATTGCGGAACTTTTTTCTGTTAACAAGAGCAAGTGGCAAAAATGTTGTTAGTTAAGGCACTTGTAGGGCTGCCCTATTCCACCGTATAGTCCAATCAGTTAACCAGCCAGACATCGAATGGCAACAAAGTACCGCCAAACTGGGTCAGTAGAATGATACAGTTTACACAGCCAACCACCACCAAAAGGCCAACGCATGCTCCGTGAGTCTATTAAAATTGATCAAAATAATAGAATAATTCTCCATGTGGCGAGTTAAAAGTGAAACCAGCATGGTTTAAATAGAGAGTTAAGGGAATTCCCAAACCGAAATGTAATTAATTTTATGGTGACAAGAAAAGAAAATTTTATAAAGTCCGATACTATAGACCTCAATGATTTTTACAGTCAATGTAAACAAATGGTTATAAAATGATGAAGGTCTAAAATTCAAAATGACCTGATTCGAGAAAATATATAAATAACACTCTAGGATATTTTGTACGGAAAATAGTATACATCGGTCCACATTTTAGTATTGTGCCCATATAACGGAACCATACTTTGGCAAGCCTGATTCTTGGAAAGAGAACATCTTTACAGAAAATGACCAGTATTGGTCCATGTTTTTCTACAGTCCCATAAAAATTTTCCGCCTCTTTTAAAGTATTTTGATAATCCGAGATTTTTTCCAGCTGATGTGGCTCTAATATGGCATTCCGGGTTTTGGTGGATGAAAACTTCTTTGCAGAAAATTTTGTACACGGTATTCGATGTATTAAAGTTAGAGGATAAAAGAACCTCCTGCGAAAAGTTAACATGATTTTTTTCCTTCACCAACCTAAGGGAGAGGGTGTATAAAAAATAAAAAGGCTCGGACGAATATAACGTCATTATTACAAGTTTCAATTTAAATTTTCGTTTAAATATGTTTCAGAAGTTACAGTTTCTGCTAATTTTTTCTGTAAGAAAATGTTTAGAAAAAATAAATAAGAACGCCATCACATGTAATTGGTGATTTTTTTTCTGAGATGTCATTTTTATAATTCCACGAAAGTCATCGAAGTCGCCGATCACTCACCGATACAATAGAACGGAACAGATCTAAGTGTTCGCAAGAAAACTTTTTATTCGTTCCGACAATTTATATCCGCTGCCGTTCAAGTCAATGATTTTTTGCGGCTTGGATAGCGGCGCTCTTTGACAAAAGCATTTGTAACCGACATGAACCTTGGCAAAAGTCATGAATCAATTGAACTTTTCGCCATAATTCTTTAATTTTTGTTGTCTTTTTTTATTCGTTCATTCATCCATCCACCCATCATCAATAGGCCTCTGACCGTAGATAAATCCATATTCACTTACTATCCGACCATTAAGAATTTATGAATTACGTATGAGTTCAGCAGTACGAAAACGTAGTAGTAGTCATTTATATGCTCCCGTCACTACTAAGACTTCATACATAGTTATCGGTGTGATAATTTGAGAGTATTTTCCCGCTAAATTGGAATGCTTTCAAAATTACTTTGGTCATTGTAAGCCAATTAATTGTCACACTCGCACACACACACAGTGGATGGCAGAAAAGTGGGGGGGACATTGGTATAATGACCTCAAAGAAAATATTGGGAATTTCATGCGAATGGATGGATATTGTCAAAAGATGAGCATTTTGATGTTTATTTTGTGAATATCGGAAATTTACAAGCTGAAAAAACTAAAATTACGGAAATAATAGTATGTTTACATTGCACCGGACTTTGTTCACCCAGTGTATTTAAATTTTCAATTAAAATCCCCCATTTGTCTAATACACGATGCAGTTATTGGTATTCCGTCCAAAATATCACTAACTATAACAATAATTTCTAAAAAACATCTCCACTTACCCGCCTTACTGGACGCATCCGTATCACCTTGCTCCTGCAAGCGTTCAGTTAACAGTTTATGTATCACACCGTATGTATTGATGATGCCAAATATTACACCATTGCAAAGAAATGCGCTTATCATTACCAACCATGCACGCATACCGCCATCTGGTGGCTCCTTAGCACCATGAATGTCACGACAACACGGCGCCTCAATGTGCTCCGGCAGGGGCAACGCTTTGCCTTTTGGAAATTTGCCATTTGTATGAGCGTTGCCATTCAATCGGCCGCCGCTATCGATCGCTACGATTTTGCCATTCGTCTGCGAACTCTCATTTAAGGGCTCGTTTTCTGTCATATCCGTTTTTCGTTAAATTTTGTCCGTTTTGTATTGCTAAAATGAAAATAGAAAAACACATGACATTATTATTTTAAAATCATATCTGTATGTAAAGGGTTATCCATTTCGAGGTTTTTGGGACTGGAATACGACAACTGTTAAACTAAGTTGTTAAACGAATATTTTCTTTTCAGTTGAAAGTCTGAAATTGAAAATGGATCGATTAAGAAGAGATAATGGTTTACACCATCATCCAACTACAGGTATGTTAATATACAAAATTGTCATATTTGGGGTTCTGCAAAAGTCACGTCATCGAGAAAAAGTTATTGTTTGACGCGCTCTTTGGTTCGAATATGGCATTATTGCAAGAGACATTTCCTGGCCGCGTAATTTCTCGTCGAGACGATATCAACTGGCCATGCAATTAAACACCTGTTTATGCAGAACTCTAAAGTGCTGAGTTATGTGTTAAACAGTGATCGATATGTGCTAAACAGTGATCGAAAATTAATAAAGGAATCAATGCTTGCAACCAATGCTTCGATTGGAAAATGCAGTTAAAAATGTCCAAAAATCAAAAGATACGGCGGTGCCATTATGGGGGATATTTCGAAACCTGGACAGTTTCTGCAAACCAAAAGGCTATGAAATTAGAAATTGAAATCTATTTCTATTCTATCTTTGAAGTCAGATTTGATCGTTTTTACTTGGTATGTTCCCGTACAGCAAGAATCTACTAATTTTTATACCCTCCACCATAGTGTGGAGGGTATATTATTTTTTTTGGAAATATCCTCTAAACAAATTGAGATAGATCGCCAGCATTTTGTCTGCAGGCAGGTCAAGTTCCAAGATTGGATATATCGGACCACGTCTAGGCATTGCTCCCATATGAGAGCGTTTTTCAACCGAATTCGCTTAAATTTGGTACATTGGGTTCTTATTGGGTACTAAATTTCTCCACAAAAATTATAAATATAGGTCCACATTTTCTGGTAGCCCCATGTAACGGTATTTTGGGGTTCTTGAGCGCGTTTTTCAACCGATTTCGCTGAAATTTGGTATTTTTGTAGTCGTATATGTATATATATTTTCGGTAGAATAAAGAAATGTATTGTGATGCAAAAATGTTGGTTTCGAAATAGAGCTATATCGGTCCTATATTAGGCAAAGCATCTCATACAATGATAAATACAAATACCAAATTTCATATTGAAACAGCAGTTTCCACCCAACCTCCCGAACCTGTGTACGTTGGTGATTACCTCAGTGTTTTTGAGATGTTCCACCCTACCATGCGTCGCCAATATCGGTCCACATTTTGGACAGCGGTGAGCATAACAAAATTGAGAGTATGTGGGCGTAACTGAGAATTTACCATTAAAAAGAGAAAATAAGAATGCGTGTTTAACTATGGACTCTCGGTAACGATAGCGTATATGGATAAGCATCCCTGTTTTAGGAAAAATGTCTATTAAAAATTGCTAAAATTTGTATTTGGTGTATATTATGGTTTAAATAAATCGGTTTGTACAAATGTCGGTATAGGTCCTCTTATTGGTATGTTCCCTATATTTTTTTCATTTCAAGTACCTGTCAGTATACCTATGGTGGAGGGTATCCAAAGTTCGGCCCGGGCGAACTTAACGCATGTTAAATGAACAAAATTGTCAATTCTTGTTGTACGGAAACAAATCAATTGTTTGTAAATAATAAGCAGTCTATTAGGGAAATATATAAAAAATGTGATATCAAATGAACAGTTTGTAAATAAACGAAACAGCAAGGGATTATGTTTTCACCATTAATCAATTGTCGCACATTAGTAAAATTCGAATCAAAACTTTTGGTGTGTATTTCAATCACCTTATAAGACACAAACACTTAGTTGGAATGAATACGATGACCTTATCGATTTATTATTACCATTTCGAGTAATTTAAGCAATAAATCTACGGAGAGTTATTTAAAAATTGTCAAAGGCGAAATTATATAACTTTATATGGAGAGGTATACCAAAACTTGATCCAATATATGCCTTATTCGATACCAAACATCTTGAGATTAATATCGATGTATATGGAAAATTTGAAAGCTCTATCATATCCATTGTGAAATCTATCATAATTTCATATGCATAAGCATCACGTTATCAAAGTTATCTGTGTGGAACCTGAAGACATATTAAGCCTATCTGTTGTCATATTCTCTTTCGATAACCGACTTATTAATGCTCTATACAGTTCAATACTAGAATAATAAGTTAAAATGTACAATTGTGAACATATTTGGCGATATTTGCATTCTTGGACACCACATATCTTTAAGAATGCTATGTGGTGAATGTTATAGTACTCGCGATTATGCATTTCTTGCGAACGTCAACAGATTCAGAGAATTTGCAGTTAAATTATTTTTGCCGCGTAAAAATTAAACAAATTAATCGGGGGTTACGGTGAAAAATTTACGAAAAAATATATTTGTTAAAATATTGTTTACGTGTGTAATTTTTGTACTTCACAGAAAAATTAAATAAAAAATTCCGCAAGTGAGTCAAAAGGAACGAGCGCTACACCTGCAGTTCGACAATGGGTATATTAGCTTAATAGTTTTTGTACCTTCTCCGCTTAACATTTTATTGAAAACCAAATGTGTAATATTTTTCCGGGTCCAAAGATTGGGTCCATTCAATCACTCATTCCAGTAGCTCTCCCACAAAGAGTCAACTTTTTGAACATGTGTAGCTGAGTATCCATTTTAATTAAAAATGTGCACAAAATACGATTTTTACCAAACCTAGATCTTATCCGAAGATAAGGAGCTTTGGTTCAATCCTTCTGATGTTTGCTCCAAAATTTAGTAACTATAAAGTTCATAAAAAACCTTAATAGCTTTGCGGCTATTGCTGGTTATTTTTGAGATGGCGTTTCTTCAGTCAAATCAAATGAGGAATATTTTTTGTAAAACATATCCCCCGTAAATTAAATACCACAAGACGAGATTTTTTGTACTCCAAATATGCTACAAAAATGTCTCTATGCCATGTCTCTATGCCATGTTCGTCTATCTAAATCACGATAAGGCTTCGAAATTGCACATTGCTACTACTTCCAGGATGTTTGAGATGTTTCGGTACATGTTTTGGTATTGCCCCCATATAATGGTTTTTTCAAATATTCGGTATTTTTTCAACCAAATTGATTTTACTTTGCATTTTGAATTCTCATTGAATATAAAATATCCCTACCAAAATTTTTTTTTAAATGTTGACTTACTTTTATAAAATAACCCTATAATAACTATTTATATTGACTCACGTTTAGGGGTAGGCCCCTAAATAAGATTATTCGGTATATTCACCACGTTTGCAACCAATTTGGTGGACTCTATAAAACGTTCATCGCGACCGAACTTAATGAAGTTTTACTTGTTTTTCCGGATATTACAACACATAACACATTTCCTAAATCTTCAGGGGTTTATATACTTGTACAGTTTGAAACCCATCGAAGTAAAACCACCATTAACCACTCTAGCGACTTTAGATAGACATTTTTTGGCATTTCGAATGCCATTGTCTCTATAAAGTAAGAGTTGGAACCGAAGAACTTTTATGACAATAGCACTAAGTAGGCATAAGTCGGGATAATCGAGGTTTGAGTTATGAAATTTCGACGGTATATCTATTTTATTGAATTTCCCGCCATCCCTGTATATAACTATTACCACTTGTAAATATATTGCTATATAACGCTAAAGTTGCACATATTTAGTATTTAATGATTTCGATTCATGACGAAACGCACTGTTCGCATTTTTATGTGCCTCTTCGCTACAACTAAGGTTTCAGTTACAGGGTCAAAACCTGCTCTTATTTTGACAACCGATCGCACTCAAGACATTGACGTTGAAGATTACTTGCTGCAATTGCAGAATGTCATTTCGTCATGCGGAATCATTTTACAAAAATATAGCGAATCGACACGAACTAAACCGCATAACGCCGCAAAAGGTAGTCACTGTCCACAAATAAGTAAGAACTATTCAGCATTTATTTCAATTTTGTTGGAATATACAAAAAAAAATAAATAAATTAAGAACAAAACAAACTTTTGTTTTCGTTTTTTTTTTCAGATACAAATAGTATCACTTGAACACACATTTACACACATCTTCCCTCAATATACGTAGATAGGTCGTATGGATGGATGGGTGCGATGGGTGTGCGACGAAATATCAGCCCATTTCCCATTGAAACGGAACGGAGGGAGAGACCACAAATACACGTGTTTTTATTATTACTCACTCACTCACTTTCTTTTATAAATATCAACAATTGCACATGCACACACGCACACTTTCCTCTTCCTCGTAGACGTCGAGAGTTTTTTTATTTGTCGGATGAATGGCACAAAGAGTGTTCTCGCAACCTTGAATATTAAATACAATTTTTTATATAAATTTCGCACAAATATATTTATTTCTTTTTTTACAAAAATGTTGTTGCCGCAAAAATATACAGAACGAAACTATGACCGCCTAATTGTTTTACTATTTGTAAATTTGTGTTATTTGTGTTCTTTTCAGAATAGTTCCGCGAGTCTCCTTATTGTCAAGCGATAAATAGTAGCGACAACAATCCGAACAATAGCAGAGCGAACTACCACTCACGACGGCGGTCGTGGGTAAAGTAAAACTTTGCTATTCTCCCTGCCACAATTATTGATTTGTTTATTTGCACTGGCGCTTGACGCTAATGTTGTCGTGCCAAGCGATTGCACTCTGTTGGCACGATGCGAAAACCCGAAGAGCCACACCGTTGCTATAGCAAGCGAAGGAAAACATTCTGTTATCGCAATTAAAGGTATCCGCGAGCGAGAGATTGGTTGAGGAATTCAAGTGCTCTTGGGCGACTAAATACCCAGCCCTGATAAAGGCTATTTGCCACACGCACAAACAGTGAGCACTTGTGAAACACGTAGCACTCTGGGCGGTAATGAAAGGGAACTGCTCCCCAAAATGTCAATAAGGGTGGAAGTTGAATGCAACGAAGTAGAAGGTAAGAATAAATGTGACATCATTACACTCTCTGTAAGTAATTAGAAATGCATGCATACGTATAAGGCAAATAGGCACGTAAGTAGTGACGTCAATCAACTTAGATAGCTTATTAGTAAAAAAAATTGTAAAATAGACACCCATACATTTCCACAAGTAACAATACAGGTGGGGGTATGTTTTGCATACTATGGCTTCATGTATGATATTCCTAGATGTTCCTTCCAAAATCACTAATTTGGAATATTGAAAGAAACCTATATTTTTTACAAATAATTTTTATTTGAATCTAAGTTCGACCGGACCCACTTTGTTATACACTCCACGACGAAATGAAGATAGAAAATGCCTAATGCATTTTATATCTCTGAATTAGGTATTTTATATCTCTGAAATATGCGATTAGAAGTATACACTCGATATTTGGTAACAATTGTTACCAAATCATACTGGATGTTGTCTGTTTACTCCAAAGACCAGTAAAAGAAGTAAAAGAGTCCGAAAAAGAGAGTTTGACAGTTCTGCACGGAGAACTTACTTCTAGTCTGATTTATCCGGGACAATTCGATGTATTTCAATCTACCGTTAATCTTAAATTTTGCCCAAAGTAAAAAAACACATTTTTTATTTTAATAATTCATAAATTTATTAATAATTAAAAAACCTTGCTAAATGTTGTCTGTTTACTTTTCTCAGTACTATCGCAAAAGAGAGTAAGAAAGGATTACTCTCTGAACAAGAACTTACTGAATGAATGTTACTGGAAAAGTAACCAGACACACCTAATTTACAAATTGTTGTTTTTTGTGATCAAAGAAAAGTCTTTATTTTTGATGGCGGGCACGAACATCGGAATCCGAAAATTCCAACGGTGTTAGAAAGAGTACATGTCTGGCTCTCGTATGAACTAGGATTATTTTTTTTTGTTTTTTGGAAAATTTCCTATTTTTGACCACATACTAAGTTAAAAAATAAGGAAGATCTTCACGGATTTGCTTTATACGAGAGCTATACACTCCCAGAGAAACGTGTCAAAATTTGGAACCGATTGGATTATTAGTTTTTGAGTTATCGTGCCCGTCATTCGTAAAACACTGCTTCGAGAAAAATGCGTTTAAAGTTTCAGAATCACTCTTGCCGTCACTTGATGCTAACACAATAAATCGGCTATATCTTCAAGAGTTCTTGAGATTTTCACATGAAATTTTGTAGGGACATTCTAGAATTAGAGTAGATTTTTAACACCGAAAATGGGGGTGGCCCCCTTAAGTGAAATTAAGTGATATTTTGTAAAATCTTAATGAATATTGTCTTTTAATTGTGAAAGAGAATAAAAACGGCTTACTCTCTGAAATAGAACTTACTGAGTAAATGACACTGGAAACGTAACCGAACACAGCTAATATTAAATATTGTGCGAACACTTCATATTACAAACTAGCGAAGTGCCCGCTACTTCGTATGCGGAAAGAGAATACAAAAAAAAATAATATTTTATATGGAAATCGTGAATGCTGTATAATTTGTTGTACTATAATTCCACCTCTATTCCTACATCTAATATCAAGTTTATTACCATTTAGTACACATTATTACGAATTGTCAAAACTACCTCCATGTGTCAATCTTACATTCAAACAGAAATTTTAATCCCAAATTTAGGAATTGCAAAAACATATTGTACTATATCTCGTGCCGAAAACCCGAAAAATACCAAATAATTGTACCGCTCTTTGGGGGCTACCCCAAAACATGAACCAACATTCTGATATTTGATGATAGGGAAATTTTCTATCCAATGAGAATCCAAAATATCAAATTACAGTCAATGTGTGGCACCCAATCTATGGGGGTTACCTCGAAACATACCAATATTAATATTTTTGGTTGGAAAACGTGCCCAATAAAATACCTAATATATGAGGATAATTTTATATGGGGGCTACCCTAAATAGTGGATCGATTTTCAATACCAAACATCCTAGGAGTAATAGCAATGTACTTTGTTTACAAGAATACGGACATTCATAAATCGACTCAGAAAGTGATTCTATGTATATGGGCATTTCTGCTATCACTTACACGGAGGCAATATAAATTTTAATATTTACAATTCGTCCTTAATACTTCCAATACTCTAAAATTGCCATTAATCTTTTTTGGTCAAAGATCAGTTTTTCTAAAATCACTTGCAATGTTCACAATTTATTGAACATCCGGCTGCCAAACTGTTCAAAATTAATTACAATTCACACATATACAGTGCCGACAAATTCAAATGAAATTTAATTTTTTTAATTGATTGTTCAATTGTCCTCAGTCCGATTTTGCAAACAAACGCAATTTTGATTATTGAGCATATTTTTTAACTCAATTGATTTTTAATTTTTTAAAAAAGAGTCATGCGGTCTGCTTTTTTATTGGCCAGCTGATCGATTGCTTACTTTAAATTCATTTTCTAGACTATTGATCCACACTAGTTGGATTCAATTATTATCGACTTAATTGGATGATGTAATTTACTACATAACTTCGTCATGCGACAGTGAAATATTCAAAAGGTTTTAAAGGTATTTTATCGGCTACAAACGTGAGAGTGTGCATTTACGAAGGTTTGTTTCAAATAGTTTGCCAATGGATTGAACCATTCACAAAAATTTTTAAATATTTTTTTTTTAATTTTTAAATGTTCAAAAGTTATTTGCAGTTTAATTAATATACAACCTTATAAGCATTTTTGTTTGATTTTAGTTTTCTACTCTGATACCAGAATCAAAGTAATTACCAGACTTAATAAAATGTTATTTCTTGAAGTTATAAATTTTGATATATAATTTAAATATAAAATATAATTGGAAATTAAATTATATAATTTACCAAAAATCACTAGCTACACCTAATAAACTCGGCTTAGTACCATTTACTGGTACGAAGATAAGTAGAATGTCAATTGCAATACAAATTTGATTGCAATTGCAATACAAATATTGACGGATGTCGTCAATTAAAACTTCGGTTATTTTTTTAAATTATATCATCAAAATCGGAAACAAAGTGACAAATTTGGAAGAAGACTATAGGCCCATCCACCTGATTTTTTTCTATTACATACAATGGAAAAGCTGCTGGATAATTAAGTTAGAAAATCTCACGACCTAAAAAAACAGAAAATGGGATAACGCTAAATTTAAAAACGAATAAGTAGAAGATACTTAAGACTGTCACAAGCTTTGAGAGGAACACGGACAACAAATTATATTTACAGGAATATTTCACTGCATCTTGGGGTTTCACCTCTGCCATGGCCTCTGGTGGTAGAAGAAATAATAATTTACCAACTTCATACAATATGTAATGTTACCACTGTCACGTTGGGTCGGGAAAGCTGTGCTATTTTGGTAAAATCACTCCAATTAATAGGTGTGCATTTTGGAACTTTAAACGGTATGCCAAAAACTCCTACAAGCTTAATAAATATTTCTGAATCTAGCCCTCGGTATTACAAATTTGGCACTGTTACTATATATGGCGGTAAATGATTTGCCAATTTTATAATGTATCCTGGGAAATTGATCACTGGGAAGTTTGCATTCGAATAATAAGATATTTTGTCCCATATTTAAAGCTAAATTTAATTTAGTTCACCACACTAAAAATAGACGAATTATGTTGAACTATCTCTTGAGGAACTCAGCAGAGCTGCCGCAAAATTTGCTTACAAATCTCCATGTGTAAACGGCGTCTATACAATTTTCTCCAAATATGTTTACCTCCGATTAAGAACCCAAAAAATATATACATTTATAAAATTCTAAAAAAGTTTAAGATATAAAAAACGCATACATCTTCGAAGATATTATTTTATGTCCAATCGACACAATTAATTTGTTCGAAGAAAATTGTTGAAGCATTTCCTGATGATACCTTTGTACACCGTCCAGTGATAGGATATACTTACCAGATATACTTTAACGAAATACATACTATATAAATGTGTATATAGCCAAAATAATATTCAAATCGTTTAATAAAATATGCAAAATTGTATGTGTCTATTTTGTAAAAAAAAAATATGTAAGTCTTTTGTGAGTACAATACTATCAAAAAATACATTAGTTCTAAAAAAATCTCAAATATGTTTTCACAATACCTCGTCAAGGCATCATCAGCTATCTATAAATTTGCATTTTAAAATTCATTAATTCATACTTTATACATTCTAAAAACTCATTGGAGGCGGAGGTAGCATATAACCATGAGGATGATCAATAACTACTTTTAAAAATTTATCGGGCCATTCAAATTCCCGCCGTTCCCCGAGCTGACTTATTCTGTCCAGATTTGCATTCTTGAAATCTTCAATCATACGTGGCACCAAGTCATCGGTTATTAACACCTGAATCCAATATCCAATAACTCCATAAGGTGCTTCTTTAGTTACACCGGCTCCTGTCACCGACTCTGCTACAAACGTCAGTGCCAAATGCTGAGCTTTAAAGGTAAAGTGTCGACCATGACGTATCCGATCTTTAATTGCCAACAACAGAAATTTAGCTGCATATGGAGCGATTTGTAACTCTATGCCGTCGAGTGTAACAGAATCGGGAGCCTCTGGCTGGTCATCAATGGGACAGGAGTTGTGCAAAGAACTGCCACTCAGGGACATAGATACAGGAAACGCCAAATTAGAAGGTTCAGTGTTCATTTCCCCTAAGTCTTCTTCTTTACATTTTATCTCTTCCTTCAGTGTCATCGAATCCATTAATGTGTTTAGCTCTTGCCCATCTTCTGGATCTTCTGCATTGGTTTGCGTATTTCGTGTCCTAGGTCTAGGTATTTCTCTGAATGTAAATTCTGCATTAACTCCCGCTAGATCCGAGCCATCTCTTTCTAACTCCTCCTCAAGAGCAACTAAACGATCGGGGAAAATGTCGAATACGCTAAGAGTTCGATCTATGTTGGTTACCCACCACTCCCCGCCAGTTTGTATGTCTTGCTTCAGATAATTCAATACACCACGACCATTCCATCGCGCAGCTTGTTCCAACTCCTCATATGTTACACCAACAATTTGGCAGAAATCGACGCTGCCAAACGGTGTGATCATTGATTTCAGCTGGGGATCTTCTGCAATTAAAATATTTTGCAGTGGCGTATCAAATCTATCGTCCAAGCCTTTCCGCCATGGTATATTATCTCCGAAACAGAGTCGATTTCCAGTCCGGAAACAATACCGAGCCAGATTTTGCATGAGATTTGCAGGCCAAGTGGGCGGTCTAATTCGCTTTCCAGGGTTTTCTTCCTCCTCTTTAAGTTCTTCATTCGTTTTTAGCAGACGAAATGTCAATTCAAAGCCCATACCAGATCTTGATTGTATCTCACTGTCTTCACTGTCCAGCACATGAACTCGTCCATCGCCATGTAAATCACTCAGTCCAAAACTAACATAGAACCAATGCGGAGGAATCTTCTTTTCGGGATCGCCACGATTACTGAACATGCTAATATAGTCCAATGGGTCTTGTCCACCGAGCCAATATTTTAATACTGTTGTAACTTGCAGGGGATTTGGTTGATCAGGATAATGCTCCAGCAATTTGTCAATAAGAGCTTTCAAACCGGCTGGTGGCGGACATCTTGGTGTAGTAGCACCAATGTTATGCTGATTTGGGGCTGATGCCATTTTGAAAACCCAATTATAATGGAAGACAACTTGACATAAGTAAATAGCGCACAATTATTTAAATTATTTCAAATTAAAAAGAGATCGATCGAGACACAACGTCGTCTGAAGAAAAATTGAAAAACGTTCCACCTGCTAACGAATGGGAGGAGAAGACAAAATGACCGATAAAGATAAACCCAAAATGAATAACAGAAAGTTTACGAATGATGTGGGCGGGAGACTAGGTGGAAACCGTGTTGTTTACACACATACACACACAGCAGCTGCAGTCAGAGAACCGGAGCCATACTGAAATGTTATGTGTGACGGCGTTGCTGATGTAAAAGCATCAGCTGCTTTTCCTAATTTAAAAATTGAGGTTTGTAACGCATTTAATAAAATAAACTAAGTTCATTTACACTGTCTCTCGAATTTTAAAAATAAAAAATAAGATTTTAACTTAATTTTTATTGGAATTTGATATATATAAGTATGTTTTATGCGGCGATCACTTGACTGAATGTAACGCAGTCAGATAATTGGATCTACTTCGGACTGACAAGCACAGTGTAGCAAGTAATTTATATGATTGCCTCTTGTAAAAGAGAAATAACAGCCCTTTTTTGTAAAATTCTAGACAAACCAATTCGAGTGATTTACGACGAAACCATGGCATAATTATTACAAGGTAGGGTATGTGTGTGTATTGTTTTGAATACTATGTCAAGTAAATTGAAATATATTCAAATTTAATTGCAATGAAAATTATGTTTTCAACACGTTCGTCTGGAAGCATGTCATAATTACAAAATGATTATTGAAATGATCTTGAAGTTTTCAGCCTCTATAATCTATAAATATATTATTTTTATTATTAAATCTTTATTTTGTAATGAAAAGCCTAAGGGGCCAATAAATTATTACAACATGCTTCGAATATTAAATTTGGAAATTAACATTTAAATTATTAGAACTTAAAAGTAAATAATATCTAATTAGGAAAAAATACACGTATGACACTTCACAAGGGAAGAACTACTCCTAAAAGAAGAAAGAAGAACTACTCCCAAACTATAATATCAGCGACAATTACTGCCTCTAAATATAAGTATTTTTTAAGGTAGATACAAATAGCATAGAATATTATTCTACTGCTTCTTGAAATGAGACAAGAAGCTTATTTCGGTATGATGAAATGGTTACATTAAACATTTTTAAGTTGTTAGGTAGTGTATTGAATAAACAAGAAATGATCTATCCATGTGAACGTCCAATCTTGGAATTGTTAGATTGGTGTTTCTAGTGGATCTTGAAAAATAAAAGGAACTGGCCAAAAAAGAGGGACATTGAGAGATTGACATTTTGTAACATTTTTAGTTATATCTTAAGAGCAATATTATTAAAAACGGAGATATTTATTTACAGAAAGTATACATTTTTATATTTTTTAAAAAATATGCCATTCGACATGCATAATATTTTATGAAAAATTATTTTTCAAACAATTTGAAATTGATAGATGAGTTCTAAATTAAAAAGGGTTGCCATTACTAATTTCTCAAATGAGACTACCTTCTGTAATTATGCCATGGTCTGGAAGTAATTACTTTGTTATGGATGAAAAAACATTTTATGGTATTCCCTTTGGATTTTGGCAGAAGAAGCCACCACGTACATAGTTGCTTTTTAGTTATTCAACTCGAATCTACTCTAATTCTAGAATGTCTCTACAAAATTTCAATTGAAAATCTCAAGAACTCTTGAAGATATAGCCGATTTATTGTGTCAGCATCAAGTGACGGTGAAGGGCTAAACAGAATGTTCGCGTTAAGCGTTTTTTTGTTATCGCGTTAACGCACGCAAAAAGTTAAAATATATTTAACTCCGAAGCGCAGCGCACAACAACTTCGAGCGTTTGTGTTATCGTTTCCTTGTGGTTGTTGTATTTTCGATAACACATAACGCAACGGATGGCTCAACGCGAGCATTCTGCTTAGCCCTTAAGAGTGATTCACAAACTTTAAACGCATTTTTCTCGAATCAGTGTTTTACAAATGGCGGGCACGATAACTCAAATACTAATAATCCAATCGGTTCCAAATTTTGACACATTTCTCTGGGAGTTTATAGCTCTCGTATGAACTAGGATAAAGCCAATCGGCGAAGATCTTCCTTATCTTATTTTTTAACTTAGTAGACCACAAATAGGCGATTTTCCAAAAAAAAAAAAAAAAATTCAAAGTTCCGCCATGTTGTTAATTGTTGTACGAAGTCAATAGTTCATACATGAGCCAGACATGTACTATTTCTAAAACCGTTGGAATTTTCGGATTCCGATGTTCCAGTTAGGAGTTATCATGCCCGCCATTAAAAATAAGGACTTTTCTTTGATCACAAAAAACAACAACAAAAAATGTTTGTAAATTATTTTTCTTCCTTTTTAAATCTTTACATATATATATATATATGCAAAGTTGCAAACCTTGGTATTCAAGTATGCTAAACGACAGAAAAGATGCTGAATCAAGCACTGGAAATGCAAAAAATAGTAATCCACAATGTAGCTCGGACCGACGCAACATGAAATTGCACGACGCAAATCGAATATTCTGGTTTTTGAAAAGCGACGCAGCTCGAAAGGACGCAAATCGGGACGACTAGTGTATTGGAATATTTTTGGGTGTCTGCTTGCTACCTATGTCAGTAGTCACACGGGCAAATTTTGTGGTAAAGTAAATTGAGTTTATGGGCGAAGGAGTTGAGAGGAATAAAAGGGGGTACAGACATACTTGTACTTCGCAATTCTGTTTTGTTTCGTTGTTTTTGCCTATGACTAAGAAGTCTATTTTTAAAGGGCCCCACACACTATACACATTCCGTAATGCCGATGAACCCCTTTGTATACGTGTGTGATTGACTAGTGTGTGGCAAACTCTTCAATCATTATTTCAAAAAAATGATTTTTGTCCAAAAAATCACATTTTGAGTCGTAAATTCAGTAATTTTTTTATTTCGTCACAAATTTAATATATTGTTACGTTCTTGGATTTTACTTAATCCCGTGTAGACGTTGTTTTATTTCCCAGTACAGTTCGTACTAAATAAAACGCGGGTTCTTTCTGATTACGATTATTACAGTGATTTTATTGACACAACTTTACTTTGCACGTTACTTTACAGCTTTACGTTATTTGACGGTTTCAATTCGCGATCTGATTCACAACTGACTAACTGCCTTGCCATTTCCTCTATTTATATGAATCTTGCCTGTCGCTACAGAAGTTTCTAGACGATCTGGTAACATCTAGATTACGAACAATCTGGTAGCATTTGAACAATCTACCAATGCAACAAACACATACAACCTTACAGTTAGTAAACAATAACAACAACACATATACAGGCGAGGGAGTAACAAAGAAAGAGGAATTAAGCGATCATCAATGATAACGTTTAACAAGAATTGTACGTCAACAACAAAATAGACAATGAAAGAGGAAATGGAAAGATGTAGAAAAATCTATACAGTAGTTGTTGTTGTAAAGTTATTCGAATAAACTGCGTAGTAGAAATTTACGTTACAATTCAAATTCTTAAATTAACGGAATTCATCTGAATTAACTTAAATCTAAAGTTATATTCGTAACAATATGTACTCAAAATTATTTACTCTCAGCTTTGAAAATAAATAAAATACACAAGATTTTGATATTCGTTATGCATTGTGTGTGTCACACATACATAAATAAACTTAAAAAATACACATTCTATCATAAATGCTGTACGGCATGATGTATAATGTACCGACTATGCAAAATCGACTAAAAGTTTGATTTTGTATGTGAACAGTTGTCAACCAATAAATCAAAGTTCTAGAATCTATAATTTTTGACAGTTTGGGCTTTGTGATAATAAACCAAGTATTTATTAATAAAATCAATAGTCGATCTTGAAAAGTCGACTTTACGATTTCCTCATAGATCAAAAGTCGACTTCGACTTTAATGCATTTTGAATGGCACTCTTGCCTAAAAAAACCACCACAAAAATATTTGTGGTTGTTGGACAGTCAGTAGTGGATAAAAAGGTTAACAGTCGAAAATTATAGTGTGTACACTGCTTTAGACTTTTCAATACAAAAAAGTCGATTAATCGAATAGTCGAAAGTCGATTTACTTATCCCTATATTCGAGTTTGCAAAATTATTGCAGAACAAAATTGTCTCGGTCTTTTACAACAAAACGAAAGTATTAACGCCATGTACAGACGGGCGTTGTTCGACCCTGTATTAAGAAATAATTACTGAAATAATATTAATAATGATTAGGAAGTATATATAGTTACCTACTTATTTCGATATTTATTTCTTTTCATTTTGTTCTAATTAGCGCATAAATAAAAAGATATGAAATTTTTTTGATATGTGACATATGAATTGAGAAAATATAAAAATGTATTAAAAACAAAATTTTCAGAAAAAAATTAAAAACATGAATTAAAAATATATAACTATGGATTGGATAATTTGTTCTATTTAAATTTGTAGGTATGTAATGAACACTAATAAGTTGAAATTTCAGTGTAGAAGAAGAAACACCAAGTTTGAAAAAACAAATTGTGATGACATGAATTAAGAATAGTGTTGTATGAACGGGTTAATTCATGTAGGTAATTCTGAGAGCGAACTACGTTGTTCGAGTGCTTGTCAGAACATGGTATAAGAAAGCAAAAATCGAAAAGCCACAACAGAAAATCGATTTTGTGCACTCAAAAGTCGACTTCGATTTTTAGACTTTCGTCTACAAAAAGTCGATTAATCGATTAGTCGAAAGTCGATTTACTTATCCCTATATTCGAGTTTGCAAAAAAATTATTGCGGAACAGAATCGTTTTAGCCAAACTCAGTCTTTTTTCTAAGCAGATTTAAATAAATTAATACTCGAAACGCACAAAAATGGAGCCCTACAATCAGCCCGTGGTTATTGATAATGTAAGTTCTTGTTTTTCGCCCCATTGGCGAGTGAAAATAATCGGGAATATGCTGAAAAGCCCTAATACAAGGTGCGGTGCGAATGAGTAGTAGTGACATCACCTGCCTTACTGCCGCGCTGGCCCTCTCTTCCATCCATCCGAAAATCTGTTGGTAGTTGAAACACTAATAGCAACAATCCTAATAAGTCTACCAACAACAAAAACAACGAATGCGATGATGACTAAACCTTTGGGTGGTTGAATTTCCAAAATAAAAACCAGGCTTAAAGGGTTCTACAAAATATGAAAATGTTTGTGTATTGAGTTTTTCGTTTAACGTTTATATTTAATACAAGATGTCCAATCATATTGACCAGTCATGTTTATGCCCTCATTTAGATGCAATTGTCTGCCATAATTTATTGGGTAAATGACTGGTTGGGTTTCACGCACCCATTGTAATGGTAGCATTAGTAATTCGCTGCATTTATCTCTTGTCCGAAGGCCGCATTTTCCATAATGTTTCTTAAAAACGACGGGTCTTGGTAATTTATTATATGGATCTCGATAATAATCTCTGAAATTTTGGCAATCGATGTAGAATTGATCAATATCATTTACACGTCCATAATCTACCACGGACAATCCAATTGCCGGAGCAAATCCTCTAAGCGATTTTCTTTGATTTTCAGAACTCTTTGCGACTCGTAGCATATCAACCTCGGGAGTTTTAATAAACTTCATCTTGAATGTGACACACAATAATTGACCAATTAGTAAAAAGAGAAAAAGCAACTTTCTAATTTTTATATTTTCTATCTTTTCAATTAGATTTGATTTTGATTGACAAAATTTGTTTTTTTAGGGTTCTGGTATGATCAAAGCAGGTTTTGCCGGAGAGCATATACCAAAGTGCCGATTTCCCAATTAGTGAGTAGTTGGTGTAAAGAAAATTTATTTTTTATTCACATATTCTTCTTTCTTCCTTTTTAGTGTTGGTCGCCCCAAACATGTTCGTGTTATGGCAGGTGCGCTAGAAGGTGATCTCTTCGTCGGACCAAAAGCAGAGGAACACCGAGGTCTATTAAGCATACGTTATCCTATGGAGCATGGTATTGTTACCGATTGGAATGACATGGAACACATTTGGGGATACATTTATAGCAAAGTATGTTCATGTTATGGTAATTATATTATTTTTTATCTTGTGACAGCGACTTTACAGAATCGACATTTGTTTACATTTATATCTTTCTACGATATAAACCATTTTAGATTGTATTGTATCCCATACTTATTCAAAAAATACTACGAACTTAGAATTTCTTTGACTCTACAATTGAATAATTTAAATCGATCTATCATTTGGTTCGAGATACTCGGAAAAGAACTGATCCAAATATTTACAAATAAGATTGACAAGGGATGGACGCAAAAAACATCTGGATAACGATGCTTTGGATAACGAATAAAATAGATAAAATAGATAACATCTATAACTTTTTCCGTCCATTACGAACGCATAAATGGAAGAAATATATTAAAAATTGTTTGGAAAGGAGTGGGGAATATTTTCCATAATTTTTTATTAAAACGAATTTAAGCGAAAATATAATGTATACGCTTTAGAACCATACTAATATTACTATCATCGGCCCCTAAATGACGAAGTTGTGAGTATAGGAAATTCGGAACCTCAGAGATCCATATCTCAGGAAGTATGAACTTCTCCCAAGGAAGTCATATATTTTCGTGATCAGACGAGACATGCAGCTGATAAAACAATTTTGAAAAAGATGAGCCTTTAAAATCAACTTGTTCCAAAACGACAAACATAAATTAAAGGCTATTATTTCCCATAATCCAGTAGGGAATACCATGAATTATTTGTTTCATCTGTAACATGTAATTCCTTCCAGACGAAAGCGGTTAAAAATCATTAAAAAAAAAACATACCATCTTGAGGAAAAAATTGTTATCAGTTGGTAGCTATGCCCTACCTTGTTATAATTATACTATAAATTCTTTGAAAATTTAAATTGCAGTAATTGCGCATATGTCAAAAGTTACCCCATCTGGAATCAATCTGACCAAAATCTCCATTAAACCGTGCATTTTATTGTCATAAAGAATTTAAATAACAAACATTATTATTTACATTACCCTTTATTGTTCTTTGTAGTTTTTCGGGTTTTCCTCACGAACTAAGGTTTTGTTTTTTTTTTTATTTTCCAATTCCTCTACAGGAACAACTATCGACATGTACCGATGAACATCCAGTATTGTTGACGGAGGCTCCTTTAAATCCACGCAGGAATCGTGAAAAAGCTGCTGAATTCTTTTTTGAGGGTATTAATGCACCCGCTCTCTTCGTTTCAATGCAAGCCGTACTAAGTCTGTAAGTAAAGTAAAAATTCCTCAGCTGGCTGGTTTTAATTTTGACACTCTCAATTTCAAGGTATGCCACTGGTCGCGTAACCGGTGTTGTTCTTGACTCAGGTGATGGTGTTACACATGCAGTACCAATTTACGAAGGTTTTGCTATGCCTCACAGCATTATGCGTGTAGATATTGCCGGGCGAGATGTTTCGCGATATCTCAAGACTCTTCTACGCAAGGAAGGATTTAATTTCCGCTCTACAGCCGAATTTGAAATTGTCCGTTCTATCAAGGAGAAGGTGTGCTACTTGGCAACAAATCCTCAAAAGGAAGAAACGGTGGACACTGAAAAATTCTCCTATAAACTACCCGATGGCAAAACACTAGAGGTAAATTCAAATTTCATAAAAATAATGACAATCGAAAACTTAACTGATATTTACAATCAATCCTATTTAGGTTGGACAAGCCCGCTTTAGAGCGCCCGAAGTTCTATTCAGACCAGATTTACTGGGTGAAGAATGCGAGGGTATTCATGACGTTTTGATGTACGCCATTGAAAAGTCTGACATGGATCTCAGAAAATTCCTCTATCAAAACATTGTCTTGTCAGGCGGTTCAACATTGTTCAAAGGATTTGGTGATCGCCTGTTATCTGAATTAAGGAAACATTCGGCAAAGGATCTAAAAATCAGAGTAAGCTACATAACAACATTAGGCCAAAAAAAAAACGTATAAAAAATGTAAAATTTTTGATTTCACTTTTTCGCAGATTGCAGCTCCACAGGAACGTTTGTACTCTACGTGGATGGGTGGCTCTATTTTAGCATCACTGGATACCTTCAAGAAAATGTGGATCTCAAAGAGAGAGTACGAAGAGGAGGGCCATCGTGCTGTGCATAAAAAGACTTTCTAGAGCAATTCTACTCGTCATTATTTATTGTAAAATGCTTGTATTTTTTTAATTTCCTAAAAATATTCACAAACTGTATTTGTAATTTATTTTTGCGTGTTTAAGACATACGTTAGGCGTAAAATTACTTACCAACTTGTATTCTAAAGTCATTAAAAAGTTATCCAACTCAAAAGGATTTATTATGTGTGACTAATAAAGACATTTAATATGTTCAAGTATTAAAACGGAATCGCCGCTGCCTGCTACCGCCTGAGAATGTGGGGAATGCTAAAACACAATGCGTTTCGAGAATATAGAAATTCGCTTTATAAATTCTGTTTAAACCTACTTATCATATCTCTCTCATCTATGCCGTTATCAAGTGAAATAGATAATATTGAAAATGGGAAAAATAAATATTAAGAACTAATGGATTTTGGTGTTTATACATCGGTAACATCAGAAAATTTTGGTTATTGCAATGGAAATTACCTGAAATCGGGAGGCAAATTATTACAGGCGGTATCGAATTGTTTCGATCGAAGTCTTTCAATTCGGTATAGCCGCATAGGATATCGATTACATTTCGCCGTTGTTTCAAATTCATTATAAAATCTATTTTTCAGCAGCCGTCATATTTTTGTTGGGCAACTATTTTGTATTTTACCATATTTTGAGGGTTGCAATTGAAATTATCTCGATTTAGCATAGGATTTAGAACAAATCGAGATAATGAGTGGTTTTTATTTTGTATGATAAATCGAGGTAAATTCAGCTTGACATAATGCACCTTATCGCGATAAAAGATATATGTAGTCTAAACGCGCCTTCAATCCTTTCAAGGGAGATTTGTTGCAATCATATATAGAGGAAGTGATGCAAATGTGGTATAGGTTGGTAATGTGGTATAGTCACTTTTTTGTAAACTGAAAATTTTAGAAAAACTGAAACATGTTCTATAGTTTGCTGTTCTCAAAAAAATAAGATAGCAATGATCTGTTTAATTTATTTAAATCACGCTGAGAATCAGTAGCAAAAATTAAATTTTTCATGAAATTGACTTTTTTTCGGTTGAAGTTTAATTTTTTTTTGTTTTACGGATGTAATTCAATCGTTATTACTAAAGCATTAAAATAATTAGTATGAACTAAAAATCAAATAATATGCGCGATTGCACCACACAATCACCAATTTAGGAAAAAAACTAGCCATTTCTTCAGTAAACACAACTGCAGGTAATGTGGTATACCTTGAGTCTGCATGAAAAAAAGACAGTACAAGACAAAATCTCATTACTATTTGAAACATTTGTACTCTACGAGAGTCTGCCATGAATCACAAGGATGAAAAACAATGGATATGAGTTTTAACAACTTCTCCGTACAAAAATTAAATATTGCCATGCCTAGACATTATTATATAATAAAAATTAAAGTTGCACTGAACGTATCCGTTAAAAATCTTAACAGACATAAATCTGGAGCTAATTCGCATTCATTAAAAACAATAAATTATATAAGATATCAATTGGAAGTGAAAATTGTACTATACCACATTAACTTCATGTTGTATACCACATTACCTGCATTTTTTTAAATCACTTTTTATGGAATTTCAAATATTTTCTCAAATATCTCTTAAATTGTTAGAATAATATTATTTTCAAACTGATACATGGAAAGACAACACATGTAGCATGTTAAGTGTAAAATTTCAATTTTATCGGATAAAAACAAAAAAACATTTGCATCGCCTCCTATATATATCGATATGTTTATATAAATATCGGGCAACGTGTTTCACAGCCAAGCCAAAAACCCATTATTTGTTGAATATCGTATAAGACTATTTAAATATGGTTTGTTAAACTGAATTTTCTGTTGCATAGTTTAAAGGCGTAAGTCAATCAGTCTTAATTGTTCGTTATCTATTTTGTTCAATAGTAAGGGTTTATATTAAATGTGTTATATATTAAAGAATCCTTATGTTGTAAAGACACAAATTCCTTCCGATTTGCTGAGGTAAGCTCACGGGGGTCAGGGTACACAACTGAAATTTATAAACGTGACCCGAAGAATGAAAACGCTGTTTTATTTAGGTTTTAATCAAATATTGTTGTTGTTATAGAAACCCTATTGCTTTTGCACAACGGGCTGAGGTGACAGACGTAAGACTCAGATCGCTTCGGATCGTAGACCAAATTTGAATTTTTTGATAATTGCCGGGAAATTCCACCAGATTATGAACGAGGGGCTAAAAAAAAAGAAGACACGTGTATCGGCGTTTTGAAAGTTTACGGGGGACAATATTCCCCCTTTTCTAGAATTTTTATAATTTTCGAATTATGATTTCATGAAATCCTTGCATTTTAGGTATATAGTGACTTCGGCAATATTAGTGACAAAAAATATCGGGGAATATTTTGCTATACAACTTTTACCCTCAACCGACTCATTAAAGGGGTCTTTTCGGTCCCCTTTTCCAGGAGTGATTGAAAACTCATTCAAAACTGGGTTAAAGCTGCTCAGAATATTCTACAGAAATGTTCGCCATAAAGTTTTACTATAAGTCTCAGAATAGACTAAAACTCAAAAATCAGCCTAAACGTCAAAAATCTTAAAAAACAAAAACTCATTTTAGGGTTAATATTGTACTTATTACTAGTTTTTACCAATTTTTCCCACAAGATGTCGTTTTTGGAGGATAGTATAAGGGACAAAAATATTCTCCATCAATTTTTAGCATAAGTCACTGAACAAGAGAAATCTGTATATATAATGTATATACCGAATATATAGTCATACATTTTGAACCAAAAAATCAAAATGTTCTTGTATTTTTTGTCAAAGACATTTCCCAGTATTTTTTTCGACAGAGTGCATTAAAGTAACATGAAACTTAAATTTTGGTATATAATGTCAAAGAACAAAATATTCTACGTCAAAATCCACTTCAAGTCTCAGAAGTAACTAAATATTTATATTCAATAGTTTTTAAGAAATTTACATTATAAAATATTATATAATAACAACAATTTTTTGTAGACTTCAGTTAATTTTATAATGCAAATTTCTTAAAAACTATTGAATATAAATATATAGTTTCTTCTGAGGTTTGAAGTGGAATTTGACGTAGAATATTTTATTCTTTAACATTATATACCTAAAATTAAGTTTCATGTTACTTTAATGCACTTTGTCGAAAAAAATACGGGGACCGAAAAGACCCCTTTAATGAGTCGGTTGAGGGTTAAAGTTTCATAGCAAAATATTCCCCGATATTTTTTGTCAGTAATATTGCCGAAGACACTATATACCTAAAATGCAAGGATTTCATGAAATCATAATTCGAAAATTACAAAAATTCTAGAAAAGGGGGAATATTGTCCCCCCTTTTTAGGTTACCTCCCGACGTAAACATTCAAAACGCCGATACACGTGTCTTCTTTTTATTAGCCCCTCTTTCATAATCTGTTGGAATTTCCCGGTAATTATTTTTTGTGTTGCACAGTGTTATGTTCAGCCCAACCGAACTTAACGATATTTTTACTTACTCTATTTCAATATAATTAAAAATAAATTTAATTTGTAGTACTTAATTTAACACCCTATTATTAGTCATTGCGAAGTCTTCAACATCCGTCGGATGAATGCTATGCCGAGATATTGAAAAAATTTTAAAACTCATCTTTGTATCTGAATTCTGAATTGCACGAAATGATATCTTCGTGAACAAAAAAACGACACAACAAAACCAACGGAATGAATGGCTCAAACATTGCTCACACTCCTAGGTACACAGTAATGGCACTGCTCTTTAGTAATTTTTTTCAGTTAATGTCGGGTTGTTAAAGCGTCAAGTTGTGTTGCATGAAAAAAAAAACGCGGCGCGCAAAAAAAACGTTAACAAAAAATACCCAAGTTGTCATAGCAACGAACAATAATAACAATATATATATACATACATATGTGTATGTACATAGCAAGTAAACAAAGAAGATAATTTCTTTCAATTGTTTAGTTAAATTTCATGGTTTTATCTACTATATCACATAGAACGGAACAAAACATCCTATTACATGATTGGACACATAGTTGTCTAAGTTTGTCTAATAGTTAATTGCATTGATTCCAAATTCGAATACTGGAATACATTGAACAACAAACAATTTTGGAATTGTTATTTTGACGATTTGAATGAAAAGCAACGGAATAGAATCTGAGTATTTGAGGTATAACAAACAACGGACGAGAAGATGGCTCAGGCTATTGCGAATGCTTTGAACAATGACACTGAGGTAAGCCAAAAACAAAGTTATCATGTTTCAAATTTAGTTTCATACGCGATTTCACAATCACCACCACCAAAACAATGAATAAAAATATCAACAAATGAAATTAAACTCGAATTTTAAGATGGAGATATAAAAACAAAATTAAAGTTTCTACAACGGACACATGTCCGACAGAGCATATGCACAATAGGAGTACCACTTTTTTAACATTTTTTAAGTGTCAGAAGTAAATCTTTCATACTCAGCTTAATCAGGTGTAGGCCTTTTTAAAAAAATAATAATTTTTGTGTACACAATAGTTTATTTACCCGATGAAATTTATTTATTATATTTCCTCTCAAAATATGTATATTCCTAATGTACTGTAGTTTATATGTTGTTGTGGTTAATAAAAATTGCAAAATTACTTTATGATCTAGTTTTTTATTTCGGTTTAAGAGAAAAGATACACTAAAAATAAAACCAACACAGTAGCGGAGTTTGTTTATTAGCTGGGCTATTCGATTAGGAGGCCTTACAAATGTTATGATGTCAGTCAGTTATCGGTCAAATACTATCCGAGATTTAGGTGTACTGTTTGTTACGTCTTTGTATTTTGTTCCACATAATTTTTGAGGCCTTCAATGTATTTGCATTTGTAAAAAGAATTTGTGCAGAATTTTCTGATCTTGATACCACAAACATTGTTTATACAGCCCATGTCAGATCTAAACTTGAATACGCCCTACTGCAACTCCCATATATCTCGTGTGGAAAAAATCCAAAATGTTTTACAAAGTTTGCTTAAAAAAAGAATTAATGCTGACTCGACTTTGTATAAAGTTGTATAAAGTTCAGAAAGTTCAAATTTGCGTGTATATTTGACATACATAATACATTTTGCGTTCTTATTTTCTTAATAATTAATTCTCTGAATTTATTATCGTTAGTTCCAATGTTTGTCCCCCGAGGATATTTCTTTTCACCGCACGAATTAACACATAATTATGCCCTACACAATTATGTTGTCAGGGTATTATAGCTTTGTGCAGCCCCAAGAGTTCGTAACGCCGCGAACCTACCTTTAAGCATACAGATCGTCATATCTCGACTAGCTGAGTCGACCTATATAATTTGTAAACACGATACAGGCCACAGTTATGGACCAATCTTCACGAATTTTTGCATGTAGGATGGGTTCTGGCCAATGAAGATCCCTATTGTTTTTGTTAAAGATCGGTTAATATTTAGGGGATGAAATGAACCAAAAACTAAATTTTTGTCTGATTTTCTGGCCCAAACATCGCGAATTTCTACATGGAGTAGGGGATTGGGCCAAAGAATAAGCATGCCTGTTTTGATAAAGATCGGTCAATATTTAGCGGGTCAAATGAACCCTTACTTTTGTGTGAAACATGACAAAATTTTTATTCTATAGTGTATATATTTACTCCTGAATGGCATAGAACCAAGAAGTTCATAATATATCCAAGAGGAGTGGTTGACCTTTAAATTGATACCAATTATATTGTCGTATGTACTCGGATGTTGGAGTTACATTTAAATATTTACAGGTGCTTACGTACTCAGATATTACTTAGTAACACATTACCACACTAGAGGTGGAAATACAGCGCGGATCGCTTTGAAATTTTCCATGAGGATCCAGGTATGGTCAAGGATAACGCCTATAATTTTCGGTGATCAGATAATAATAGTGGGATGTGGTGGACCGAAAACTTAATTTTTTGAGTTTTTTCGAGTCAATATATAGGTCACAATTGAAAGCCGAACATCATAACACAATCTACTTATAAGGGAATCTGGATAAGTAATTAGAAGGGATTTACTGAATATTAGTAATATTTGTTGACCTCTAGTCGGTCAAGAGGGTGCAAATATTGAGAAATATTTTCCATGCTCAGAATATATAACCACAGAAAGTTTTTTTCGTGGAAGTTGTGTAGGGTATCATATGGTCGGCCCCGTCCGACTATACTGCTACACTCACTGGTTTTTAGTCTAAATTCAATAAATTATAAATTACAGAAAGAGCCTAAACCATGTATTGATTTTAGTATACCTTAAGAAAAATTTTAATCAATTGCGTGTGAAATACTTCTTTGAATATAAAATAGTTCTTTTAAATACTAGCTATATTATCAATTTTTTATTTAATGCGAATCTACACTAACTCAAGAATGCCCCTACAAAATTTCAATTGAAAATCTCAACAACTCTTGAAGATATAGCCGATTTATTGTGTCAGCATCAAGTGACGGCAAGAGTGATTCTCAACTTTAAACACATTTTTCTCGAACCAGTGTTTTTATGAATGGCGGGCACAGTAACTCAAAATTAATAATTCAATCGGTTCCAAATGTTGACACGTTTCTCTAGGAGTGTATAGCTCTCGTATGAACTAGGATAAAGCCAATCGGTGAAGAACTTCCTTATTTTTTAATTCGAGAGCCAGACATGTACTCTTTCTTAATATGCATTGGTAATTATTTACCAGACCAATGAAGATCATGAAAATTTAAAATCGGAAAACAAATATTTTTGAGATCTTGTTCAGCTCTTCCGTTAAGGTAGTTTTTATCTTCTCAGCCTAGCTCTTCATGGCCAATTTCATTACATATAAACATGCATGTTATACATATTACTGGCCTGCAAACCATGGAAAGAGGATTTCAAAGAATTTGGAAAAATGGCTAAAACTCCCCTCCACATAAAATGCATCCCCCTGACATTCTAATAACCAATCTCGGCATTAACATAAAATAGGAATAGTAAGAGATAGTGCCATGAGAAAAATGGCAACGTTAAGCAAGCACTAACACAAACCACTGCACATAATCATAGGAGGCGTTGTTTCTAGGGACGAACTTTTTATAGCCTCCGCCACGTTGTGTGCATTCAATTTTTTAAACGGTCGAGATCTTTATATTGTGAATATGGTAATGCATTATGTCTTAGTAGGTTGCTCATGCGGTTCATAACGTTTCAAATAACAGATACTCTTGTTGGTAAATTCGGTTTGAATTTCAACATATTGGAAAATAAACGGGACATTTTGCCCCCATTTTAAACCAAAATTAAATAATTTCTGGAAAAAAAAATTTTATTCACTAGCAATCCGATATACTAAATTATAGTAACTTCGATGAGAGAAAAAATCCATATAAAACCTTAATAAGACACAGACTAGTGGGTGCTCACTTTCCATCGTGTCTTAGCTTCTTTTCAACTATGGAACCTGCTTTATTCTACAGCATCATTAGAAACCTAAAGTTGTTGGGAAATTCCACCTTCGCCCTTAATATGTTTTCTGTTCAATTTCTATAGCCACCGAAACAATTTACCACCTAACTCCTAATACTTCTTGTTAGCTTCTTATCTTTTCTATCCCTCCTTTCTCCCCTCCAGATCTCTCCATATCTCACATGGATGATCACAATGGACCGGCGGGTCTCAGAGTGCTACAGCCACATTAGTGGCTGCACATCCCCAAACTTAACCTAACCTGGTAAAAAGTTCCTACTTTGTTTTTTTTTTCGTAATAAAAATGATATAAGTGCATATTAACCAACGAATTAAATTTTATCCTTTTTATATGTGAACATTAACATCTCAACTTAAAATTAATACAATAAAATGAACAATATGTATGTGAATTCAATATAAATAATAATGATTGTTAAACAGAAGCAATTTCAATTTTACAGTGAAACAAACAAACGGATTGTTAATATTAAGTTGGGGAAAATAAATCCATTATTTTTTTATGGTTTAAAACAGTTATGTTCGATTATTAGATCCTGGGCGATGTTACGATTGCTAACATGGCGGCCAACTTCGATCATTTCTCCGATTTTATCGATATTTAACATTAAAAATTTCTGAACGGAATCCGCAAAACCATAAACCCCATTCACAATTTTAGCCGCTTGGCTTGCATTTTCGCCTTTGTCAAAGATAAACCGTATAATGTACCGAATTTTCTCTTTGTTCACTTCAATTTTTAACACCCTGTAACTCACAACTCAATGCACCAACCAAAAAAGAGCAAAAAAAATTTTTATTGCGAAATGTCACCCTTCCTACGAGCATAAATCTGCATCAATTCTCTAACGATCTGGGACTTATTTGGGGTCATTATCTTCATGAAATTTGAATGTTGTCCCCAATCGCAATTCTTAAACAATACATTTTCCGGTAAGCCTTTACGGTTGGAATTGTGTGCTTAGGGTCCATGGCTTTATTCGCCCTGTACCATATCTTACTTGGTCCATTCGACCCAAACATGTTAGATTTGCTTTTATCAGCAAAAATAACAGATTACCAAAATGTACATTCTTTTCTTCGTGTTCCTGAACGAACTCCAATCGGACTTTCCGGTGTTTGGGCTTTTTCAGTGCAACTCTACACCTTACTAGCAAGTGGAAATTAAAAAAAAAACAGAATTCTTCAATTTGTTAAACATTTTACATGACTCAAAAATGATTATTAACATATTACCATTAATTACAGAATTATTTATAGATTCACTTATAATTTACAAATTCTCATTATAAATTTTTCAATCGTGCCCGCATTCAGGCCATTAAAAATCTCCTCGAATCCACCCTGGACATTAAAATATTATTCATCTCATAACTCAAAAATAAATTATTACTATATACACTTCCACGCACATACATACAAACATATGTATGTAATTATATATACTCATAATTTTGCAATATACATTATAGTCTGTGGCCGAATGTTTTTGTATGTCTGTGTGTGTGTACATTTGAAATTCACACAAGCAAAAATAATTAACTAATTACAGCACGAGTTCAATTCGAAGTCTTTTTTTCTGGCGTTGCGGATTGTCTTTTTAATAAAAAAAACTTTGTTAGTTAAGAATAAAAGGAAAACTTTCAAAAATATATATGTGGTTAGGTATGTGGTATGGAAATAAACACAGCTACATGAAATGGACTGGGGTAGTGGAACATACGTTTATATCATGTGTGTAATTCCCATGTCCAATTTTAATATGTATTGTAATTATTTCCTATTCGTTTTAGAAATTTCAAGGTAATTCTATATAACAGAAGGGGCGTGTGACGTAGAACCAATACCAAAAGAAAACTTAAATGTTGTACTCAGACGGCTCTTTCCAACAAAGTGGAAATTCATTTTGAGAAGATGGCTCTCTTATAGAATCGTGAAGGGTATATACGTTATATGTTTCGGCAAAAATGCTGAAATTTAAATTACCCACATTATTACTTATTAATATTTTGCTAAAAAAAACTAAGCAGAACAATTATAATGGAATTTCCGTATGCTTTTTATATTGATGTGTCCACTGCAACAACAAATGGAATAATGACCCCTTTGGAAATGAAGCTTAATTACACTTATAAAATATGCATCCTTTAAAGAAGATGTGTCAGAAAAATCTACTTTGTATGCAACAGTGATACGCATTTGAACAACAAAAATTTGCAAAGTAACAAAGGAAATACTTAGGTTTACTCAATTTTTATTCCGCCCTCAGTAGCTAATGTAGCTAATGACTGTATATACACTGTAATATCATTAACATTGTGATTTTTAATGATTTGTGTGGAAATATCGTTCTTAAACCTTAAGAGTCTTAAGGTCAAAACAATTTACCAATTTTGTTTGCACCAAAAAATCATCGAAGTGAAAAATCGATTTTATTCAAATTTTCAGATCTATCGATCTTCAGCACACGCAAACGAAACATTTACTGATTAAGTTCTTTTTCAGAGAGTAAGCCCTTTTTATTCTCTTTTGCAGTAATACTGAGAAACGTAAACATACAACATTCAGTGAGATTCAGAAAATAATCTTTAGATTCGCGAATTGTATTTCATTTTCTAAATATATTATACAACACTGTTTAAAACTGCACTTTGGAAAATAAAATGTTTGAATATCTTGCGCATCATTTTTGTCGATTGGTTATAAAACAGCTGATTCAGAAATAAATAAATTTGAAAAAGTTTACTGCATACAATTCTTTCAGTAAACTCCAATAAGTTTTTTGTTGTTGATCTGTCATACTTTCTCCCTTTCACTTGACCCTTTTTTAGTGGATGGAATTTATAAGTCCGTTTCTTCTGGTACAAACCAACAGGTCTAAACATTGTAAATTGTATATAAAAGTTGTAGAGGAAATTGTTAGTGTCCTAACGGGCGCTTCGCCAGGTGGCAGATAGGGGGAGGTGGATGATCATACTACAGTCGAGTACGCTTATAACGAACTTTCTCTATAGCGAACACATTTTCTTATTACGAACTAATTTTCCGGTCCCAGTTCCAGTTTTCATTTATAACAAACTTGTTACAAATATATATGATCCATAACCATGGAAATCTGCACAAAAGTTTATTTATACCTTAATGTTGGCAACCTTTACAAAAATTGCATGTTAATTAAGGAAATGAGGAGCAGCTTATGCGTTGTCAAAAAGGACACAAAAACTGTAAATTTCGAAACTGAATATATATATTCCTGTTTATCCTAGATTTTGCCTTACCTCGGATCTAACGAACTAATTTGCTCGGTCCCTAATAGTTCGCTATATCCGTACTTTACTGTAATCTATTACAACCAGTTAAAGCTTGATGTAATGAAATATTTTGATCACCCAACTTCCGGGCGGAGTGTTCCCATAAATAAAAAGCAAAAAAAAAATGGATAACGTTGAAAAATGTCGAAAAAAGTAAGTTACTGTGCAGAGCTTAAATAACTCAGTCCTGCAATCGTGAGCAACAATCCCCTACAGATGTAGGTGTCTTGGCATCTGTTGTCGAAGGTATAGCTACAAGCACTGAGCCACTGAGCAACACCGAATTAGAGTTGAGAAACTGCAGAGTTGAACAATCTCGACACAGCCTTCCGAGACAGGATAGACTCAACTTCAAATTCAGAACAAGAAAATCGGACAAACATAACCTTCATGGAAAGCCGGAAGAAAGAAGAGGCTGACAAGATGATAGAGGAGGTGAGTAAAGACATCGTCAAACTCACAACTAGGAAGAGGCTCACAAGGATATGCCTGACCTTCCCTCCACTTCTTCGGAAGAGGCGATGAGGATAAGGTCTCCGAAAAAAACAGATGAGTGACAAAACCCGCTAAGAAGAAATTGAGCTTCCCGTCGGCCACTTATAAGAAAAAAACTGAGCCAAACCAACGTCAAATGATACTGCCACGAGAACCCATTGACGAAGGAAGCCGAAGTTGACTCTGATATCAGGAAGACGAGCGATGAGGGGGGGTTACTCTCTAATGCTAGAATTTGAATCATCAAAGAGCATAGAAGCCCTGAGCAAATTAATGGCAAGTATTGGATTTATAGATGAGACAACCAAACTTAAGCTTTTGAGGAAAAGAAAAATTCCTCTATTACAAAAGACTACAGTCTTCGTCATAGGTTGTGGAGGCGATTTCACTACGGAACGCATGCTCAAGGTCTTCGGTCTGCAGAACAAGACACTGTTGACGAAGAAATGGGGTCTTCAATAGCAAGTCTGGCTAAGACAAAGAGCAAAGCGCACTGTGTCCTACAGCGTTAAAATTATATTTTTTAAGAATGAGTACGACGAATCCTTTTTGATCAAAACTTTGTACCTATTTATACAAACATAAAAATATTGTTGTCTTTGGACCAAATCTATTTCATACAATCTAAAGTCGATTTACAAATGTTGTTGCTGCACACCATAACTCTCGTAAAAAGTATTTTAACTTTGCACATAATATTTTTAATATACACATGAAGTGAATGGAGTAACCGATTTGATTCACTGATTATACATCGTAATGTTTTAACCAAAGCAACATTGAAACAGAATATGTGGTCTATAGGGCAATTACTCCTGGTACCTTCTCACAGATGGTCATTAAATATTCAAATCGTTAATAATTCAAGGTATGTAATGAAAACATCACAAAATATATGAAATTTATTTTTTGTATGAAAAATGTGGCATCCTGTTTCAGGAATTAAAAGCTAGATGGCGTAGTTTGCATTATATAGCCAAGAAACCCCGTTAATAGGGTATGTGAACAAATTTTTATTTCTGTGCTTATCTTTTTATTGTTGAGTACTGGGTTATCAAAACTATATAATATTCTGTACAACCTTTATAAAAAATCGGTAAACTCAATATGGGTAGAAAATCGAGTGAACTTTCAGGCGAACAATGACAAATTGTTGTAATATGGGCACATTGTTGTAATATGGGGATCTCGCCTAGGAGTCTATGTGCGGTCATAAAACAAAAATGATATTTTAGTACACGTGGTACAAGAACCAACTCTAGGTTGTTTTTCAGCTTATTTTTTTCGTATCCGAAAAACCGCTCATAACTGATGATCCATGCCTACTTCTTTTCACACTATGATGTTTACCTTGAACTCAAAACCTATCGAAATTTTTTAAACGAATATAACATTATATACTTTCTTATCTCTAACAGAAGTGATGTTGTCATATCACAATGTACTTTCGATGTACAATATCTCTCACACTATCTCATTTTCAATAGGTGTATTAGTTTTTCATATTTTTTATCGTGAAAGAAAAATGTTATATCAATTTCATCCATTCATTACTGAATTGTTTCGACATATACACAAGTCGTTATTTTTGAAAAGTGTAGGGAATTACACGGAATTCTCTCCCTTTAAAGATTCGTATTCACCTTCATCAATTTCCACATTTCCATTTCAGATGAAATCTATGGATGCCAATCGATATGCCACAAAGAAAACAATTGCCCAGGGCATGTTGGACATAGCCCTGCTGACGGCCAATGCATCACAGCTGAAGTACATTCTACAAGTCGGTGAACAGCATCAGTTTTACAAGTTGATGCTGGTCCTGATTAGCCTGTCGATCATTTTGCAGGTAAGGTTTGCACGGTTCAATTCGTGTTTGTGTGTTTTGTAAGTATGTACATACATACGTACCTCATATGTATATTATGTATGTATCTCTCGTCTCAGATTCTGTCCGGTGTTCTAAGTTTGTCACTGAGTTTAATGCGCGATTGCCGCATGCATATGCCGGAATTCCATCATTCGGCGAATGTCATCAATCACTTACGTACCGGGTTTGCATTTATTGTGACCATGATTAATTTGTTTATTTCGGCATTTGATTCGCGCCTACCACCCTCTCAAGGAGACTATCTCAGTGGACTCAATTGAAATTGTTCGCAAATGCTGCGCATACATACTATGTACATATGGATATGTATGTATATTTCAGCTACTTTAATTGACCAAATTAAATTATATTGTGTTTCTCTTCTTCCGATATTTCCTCTTTACATATTTGCATGGGTATGTATGGCTCGAATAAATGCAGCTGCTGGTTGGTATACTGTTTGTCATCATCGGGAGTCTGAACATAAATCGGAAAACGGATCAAACTGCCGCAGTTATATTAAACGATATAATCATGGTTGTTGTGTTTGTTATATCCGTAGTGAATGTGGTCATATCAGGTTTTGGAATTGAATACTCATCGCAACCGTTACGTCTTTTGGATCAACATCAGAAAGAACCATAAAAATGTCAAAATCAAAATTCCAATATACATATACCTACCACACAAAAGTACATATGTATGTATTTACATACACACTCACATACTCGAGAATTTTTCAAATTAATTTTAAGTAAAACAATAAACAATTTAAAATAAATAAAGTGTGTTTTTTATTTATTTTGTATTTCCAATCATCAGATATCGGCCGGAATTTTATTGATGGTGGTCTCTCTGGTCAGTATCCACAAAGGAAAAACGGAACGTGCCATAGCTGATGCCTTGAATCACGTTATTAATGGTTTAATTTTCCTCTCGCTATTCTGTGATATTATAAAAATGAATTTCGGTCTAGACCCAGCTATACCCGATATTCAGAAAAATGTAGATGGAATTGAGAAGAATTAAATTACAATAATGATTAAATATCTAAATGTGCTGAATTCATTAACAATGTTTTGTCAATTTTAGAAATATAAAGAGAGAAATATTTGTATATAAAAACGAATTTAAATAATAATTAATTACCATCATCACACAAACAGCCAATCAGAAGTATTGTGGTCATAGGAACGGCTGTTAAGAAACTGGTTAATCTTTTCAAAATTATAAGGGTACGTTTAGACAACTGGCGCGTTTAGACTGTAGCCTTTATCATGATAATGTGCATTATGTCGATTTAATTGCTAAATCCAGCTCGAATTACTTCGATTTACCACACAAAATTAAATCCACGCAATATATCGATTTGCTCTAAATCCTATGCTAAATCGAGATAATTTCAAATACAACACTGCTCTTGTCCCAAAAAATAATCGTTTCTCCTTAAAGTATGCTTTAAAATAGTTGATATTCAAAATAATTGCCTGACAAAAATATGTCAACTGCTGAAAATTTATTTTTAGGTGTGTCTGGTTACTTTTCCAGTAACATTTACTCAGTAAGTTTTAGTTCAGAGAGTAAGTCGTTTTTGCTCTCTTTTGCGATAATACTGAGAAAGGTAAACAGACAACATTTAGTAAGATTCAGCAAGTAAACAGCTGATTCAAGAAAATTTTTATTTACGCCAAAATAAATAACCAAAGGACGAACACTTTTTTGTATTGCATTTAATATTAAAAATAAAATGGACAATAAAAAAATTGAGTATTCAAATTTATACTATGTATGTTCACCAAATTACTGCTGCTTCCTGCATAAATGCATTGCCCTATTTCTGGAACTTGCCTAAAAATATAAAGAATCAATTACTAATTTAATGAAACTTTGCATTACTTACGAATTTTCTTCCAATTTCTTTAATTTTTATAAAACCTAATTTCAAATTGAACTTTTCAAATTAAAAAAATGTTTTGAATAATTTTTGTGTTTGGTCATAAAACAGCTGATCCAAAAATGGCTGAGTTTGCAAAATCTTACTGCATAAAATTCTTTCAAACAAACTTGCTCTCTCACTTGACTCTCTTTTACTCGATTTTTGGGTAAACAGACAACATTTAGTAACATTTTGCAACAATTGTTACCAAATATCGAGTAAAAAGCCAGAGCTTTTGTTTGCATTCATAATAGATATTACTATAATGTAGAAAGAAAAAGGTTGTTATGCATTTCGGACCTAATAGAGAACAACTTCTAACAAAATTATGAAAATACTGATTGAAAAATTGCCACAGACATCATAGAAGCAGTGAAATGTGTATGTATACGTAAACAAATATTAGCTAAAAAATCCACTCCATTTCATTTTAATATTAGTCTAAACAGCTAGGATTTCGTACCTCGATTTATAAATCGAGTCGATTTAGAAGGCATAGTCTAAACCCGCCTTTAATTGCAATTTTCTAGGTTAAAGTACATTTACATATACGATTTTAAATCGACTCGATTAACGAAATCCAGAAATACACCCTAATTGTTTACACATACCTTTAATCATGATCTATATGCCGATCAGCTGATGTTTGTTAGTATACATGAAAAATCATTAATTTGCGCCAAAAATATTTGTTTACAATTTGAAAAAGAATAGAAGAATTACCACAATGGAAAGGTTTTTGCAATACTCTGATCGTTTGGAAAGTAAATAAAAAAAAAACACCTAAAACACAAAAATTCTATAATAATTTTTTTATTTTTCTTTGATCTGTTATTTTTGTATTTGTCAACCGTTAAATTTAAAAATAAACGCCATGTGAAACAGTTGCAAATTTTGGTACATTGTGAGAGGGTTGTATTTTTTCGTACAAAACCCGCGTTGCATTTCAGTAGTATCATGATTTCTATCATGATTTAAAATAAAACCTGCTGCACGATGTTTTAAATTTGTATGATAAATCATGGTAAATTCAGCGTGATTAAGAAAATAAACCCTGATTCATCCTTTAATCGTAATTAAATGTTATATGTAAATTTGCTTTTAGTCTGCTTTTCCACAGGCAGATTTTTATTTGGCAAATTTTTTATTTTCTCTTTTGAAATTTTCGCTTGCTTTTCCATTACCAAATTTTTCTTTGCCAAATTTGCGAATCAAAGTACAAAAGAAAGAAAAAAAACGTCAAAAGTGTTTGCATTTTAAAGATTTTTTTTAATATTTTATTTATTTTTTATATATTTCATTATACAAAATGCAAATATTAAAAATTAAATTTCACTTGCACAAATTAAAACAACAGGTTTGTAAACAAAAGCCGGCTGTGTGTCAGTAAAGCGAATAGGTTCAAAAGGAAATGTCAACAAAATTGTTTTCAACGAACAGAGCAAAGCAGAATTTGCGTGTACGCCAAATTCTGAACAGGCAAATTTTGGTTTTTCTTCCTCGCACCTCTCTCGCCTACAAACTCAGTATTTGCCAAATAAAAATCTGCCTGTGGAAAAGCAGACTTATCAAAATTATTCAACATGTACTTTGCCAACTTTTTCATTTACCTCTTAAATTTGAACTGTCTTTCCCACAATTTGATTTCATACTAAATATTGCTGATAACTTTATTTCCTTCAAAAATACAAGTGTATTTAAATTATATTGTATTATTGAATCATTTTCCCCCAATTGACTGAAATTTATCAAACAGTGAAATTGACACTTTCATAGACGAGTTCGTAACAACGGTAAATTTTGTTGTTAAGATCCACTCTTCCGATGTTAAAGGAAAATTTATAGCTTCGAATCATTTAAAGAAATAATTAAAAATTAAATTACTCTCGCACACTCGATAGGGAGCATCCGGACTATTTGTTAATATCAAAACAAATTCAGTTGATGAAAATAATTATTAAAGAACAAGCTGAATTAGAGCAAGCTAATATTTTTAATAAAAAAAACTTGGAAAAATAAAACCTGGATATTGGGCGTAAAATAATATCTACAAACTTATCTAAATTAAATGATATTTCGGTTAATGGGCTAAATATTTCGGATAAAAATCATTAACTAGGAGTCCTTAAAGGTCATTTTACTTCCATTTATCAATGTTCCCCTCCCAATAGAGACACATCGCACATTAAAAAACTTCCGTTAAAGTCCATTGAGTATTTAACAGTTATATTTAATAATTGTATTAATAACGGTTATTTTCCCCCGAGCGTGGAAGATAGCTAAAATTATAACTATTAGGAAAAAAACCTGACAACAATAACATTAATAATTTAAGGCCCATTTCCTTACTTTCAAATTTGGGAAAACTCTTTGAAAAGATTATTAAGGAAAAATGAATTTATGTTTTTCAAGACTCTTATATATCCCAGTCTCAGTTTGGATTCAAAAAGGGAATTTCCACTGTTCATGCATTATTGAAATTTCATAACGTGTACAGAATTTAAGGGAAGGATTTTAAGGATAGCCTGAAATACCTAGGTGTTAGTTTTGATAAATTACTAAAATCTAACAAGCATGCTACAGATAATTTATATATGGCTATTCGTGTTAAAGGCGCATTTTCACTATAGTTTAATAACAAATATTTACCCAAAAAACGAAATTACTAATTTACTCCTGCATGCCTTTTCTACATGGTTTAACATTTCGCCAACAATAATAAAAAAAATTGAAATTTTTGAGCGCCATGTGCTTCGGAAGTGCATACGTCGAAATTTTCAATTGCTCAATGAAAGACAAATACTAATTATCTTTAAGCGATTGGTATTTTACAAGAGCAGATATATAGCCCAAATTTCAAAATTTTATAAATGTTCTACTCCCGGCACGCATAGGGGATGGTTTTTTATTTTAGTTTAAGTTCATATTAGTTTTTAAGTTTTATTTATTTATTTATTTTTTTTTAATTTTGTAGATAAGACTATAAATAATCTCAAGTGTCGGGAGCAAGCACTGTACTCCAAATTATTAAATTAATTGTAAAATTATATTACTACAAATAGTATTAGCATGTAGCACTAACTTGTAATAATTTTAAAATAATACATGATAGTTTTAAGTGTTCATTATAGTTATTGTTGTTAAAACATTCTAAATTGAAAAATTATAAGACTCAATAATTCGATCAAATCAAAAGATATAGTAATATCTTCCTTCCCTCAGTGTTCGAATATAGCATACCCTGTACGGGAACGCTATTGTCTAAGTCTATCGACCTAGGTACACCTTGACTGTCTATACCGTCATTGCTGTTTTAACAACAATGCCGCCACTGACGGCGATCGTTGCTTTTGGTCTGGCTCAG